TATATATATAAACACAATGGGTAACGGTAGGTTGATTGCCAACAATGCCTCATAAAATGCCCTAATGTGAGATGTTTGCTTCATTAAATTAAATGATATCTACAGCATGAAATAAATAACATATAAATCTGTATGCGTTTAATAAACGCTCCATCATAAAGACAAATTCGTTACCCCGTATCTTCAGCGTCGCTGAAAATGTGTGGAAATTGATACAAGGGCGAAGCCCCCGAAATAAATTACAATTAGGGGTTTCATTAGGCTTATTTAATCGATTGTAGAGTCTCTAATATCGTATACGAAAATACATCGGTTTTTTTTTTACCGGACGAATTGTGGGTTTTGTTTCGGGTGGGAGGCGGGGGAAGCTCTCCCCGGATCGGTTGGGCCCCGCCGGGGCCCCTGGCTGGCGCCATTCTCCTCCCCCCGCCGGTGCATAATTAGGTACCTTTAATTGTACATTTTTTATACATATCAACAAGACTACCTACATACAATACTAAATATAACATTAATAAACAAAAAGAATACCGGTACCTCAAACCAATACAACATTAATTAACAAGACTAACTAAACAACAATCAATACAAATCAATACAATCAATACAAATAAATCGAAACTGTAATTCCCATTCTACCTTTCAAAATCGCCTACAAGTTGCGACATGTTTTTGATCGTTTCAAAGTAAGAGGTTAACATTTCGTCTATATTAACATTAGATCGTTGAGACCTAAGCTGTCAGAGCTCCGTTTATTTGCATCACGATACAGCTGTCGTTATTGGCTTCTCCGCAACCTGGCTCGGTGGTCGGTCCCGGATTCTCAAGTGAAAATCGAAGGCTAGGGCCTACGTTATTCAACGTAAAGACCTATCTATGGGGTAGTGTCTGCATATTAGAGACGATTTTTCCTTCAACTGTAATGTTTATCAAGATAATATTGAGCTTGTGAGGACTGGTCTGTGCTGTCCACTCCACCATTAGATCGGACTGTGAATCATTTCATTTTCCCTTGGGGATAGTAACAAGGCCCGTACGTAGGGGGTGCGACGGGAAGTGGGGGCGTACGGGCAGTGGTGGTGCTAGGGGGGTTGGCAGGGCTACAGCCTCCCCCCCCCCCCCCCCCNNNNTCCCCCCGTCGGGGAGAAAAACCACAATTCGTCAGGGAGAAAAAAAATTATATGTATTTTGTACATAATAGACTCTAAAATCGATTAAATAAGCCTTTGAAACCCCTAAATTGTCATTTGGCGGGGGCGGGGGGGCTACGTCCCCTGGACAACTTTCGAAAGGTTTTTAGCGACGCCCGACCACGTCCACTTTTTTCCCGTCGGGAACATTGGACCCCACATCTGGGAAATCCTGGCGCCAGAAATACATCCACCAACATACCTTGACCAATCAGAGCAGTTTTCAACTAGGACTGCCTCTAATTGTCGTACAAACAAGGACTTTTAACTGTATTTATAAGCCTTTTGAGGAATTTGAGTGTTTTTCATCGCCGTTGGCGTGTAAATGACCACCGCGTACAAATTCATCTTCTGTACAGGTTTCACTAAAATCATCGTTATTCTCGTTAAATTCTTCTAGTGACACTTCCGGCCATCTAGAGGTGACATAATCATACATTTTTTTACTGTAGATCCCCCAAGGACGGATGAAATGGGGCCGAGCCGGCCCGGGAACCACCAAAAAACACAGGAATTATAATCGAACTTAAGTCTGAGACTAAGATGTCATTTCCGGCCATTTAGAGGTGCCATCATCGTTTTTTTCTCCATTTTCTTTATAACTTTAAAAAAACATACATTAATTATAATCAAATTTAAATTTGAGAGGGCCTTTTCCGGCCATCTAAAGGTGCCATAAAATGTTCTCTCTTCAGCCCCAAGCAAAAATAAAGAAAATTATATTAAAATTTTGGAGTGGCATTTCCGGCCATCTAGGAGTCCCTCCTCCTGACCCCATCATTTCTTCGACCGCTACTCAAAAAAAAAACAACTAACAAACAAACAAATAAACAAAAAAACCCTTTAATACTGTTCATATTGCATCAGAATCTATTAAGACATCAAAAATGTCTGAGCGCGAAGGGGCTAGACCCTAGCAGGGCTCTGCCCCTGGCGGTCCCCAGCCATTTTGGTCCAATCTCCACAAATTCGCACCCACCCAATAAAAATCCTGCGTACGGGCCTGGTAATATAGATTTTAATTGTCAAGGATCAAACCTTTAATAACTATAAATGTTTGCTAAATGTATATGGTTTAACTCAGATTATTGATTCTATTACACGTATTGGTCAAACTTCCTCATCTGCTTTAGACCATAGGCCCATTTTGTGCAATGCTACTGATCGAGTGATCCAACTGGAACACTCAATATATAGGCATCTGTGACCAGCTTGCTGTTAATTGCACCAGGAAAGCTTTTAAATTTAAGCCTGAAACCCCAATACCATCAAATTCGATATACCCAACATTATAGCAAATTTTAATAAGCAGAAAATTGACTGGAGTAATATTGTCAACAGTACCGACGTTTATATTGCCTGGGAGGGGAGAAATTTAAACGAATCTTTTTGACAGTCTTTGATGAAATAGTTCCTATTAAATAAATAAATGAGCAACCAACTACTGCAACCAGTATTTGATTTATGATATATAGCAACCGCTTAACAACCAGAAGTTTGATAAAAGGGCCATAGAAAGACGATTGACATCACAATTGATTAAGCAACTATAGTCAAATAATTAAGTAAACTATAAGAAATTTTCGTTCAAAAATTGCCTTCAAGCCTGTTTTCCACTAGGCGAATTTATAAGCGCGAATCGAAAGCGTCGGTTCGTTAATGAGCTATGATTGGCTGCGAACTTTCTTTCGCTTCGCAAAAAGTAGAAACTGTTCGAACTACCAATTTCGCTAAAGCGAAAACGCCGATAGAAATGTGATTGCGCATGCGTATGAACATACGCTTTCGACTCGCGCGAATAAATTCGCAAGTGGAAAACAGGCTTCAGGCATGTAGGCCTATATCTGTCTCTTATACACATCTAGATGTGTATAAGAGACAGGATTAATATGACGTACTACTACCTGGTTCGGACTTATGTAGGCAGGCCTTTACCACCTCATCTACAGATACAGAACTCATATGAATAATAATAACACAATTTTATAAAGTAACGACTATAACTGCTCACCGTCATTTAATGAATTGACTATTTACGTAACGTATTCAAATGTAATAGCCATATCTCTACAATAAGCACACAGGCGCAGTATTGGTCAAAAAAAGCAGGTATAGGGCCTATCATTACATTAGCTATAGCTCAAAACACTCAACCTAGCATTGGTAACGGAGGAGGGGGCGGGGGGGCTAATGTCCCCGACGAGAAAAAAGTGGGCGTGGTCGGGCGTCGGTAGAAACCTTTCGAAAGTGGTCCAGGGGACGTAGCCCCCCCCCCCAAATATGACAATTTAGGGGTTTCAAAGGCTATTTAATCGATTTTAGAGTCTATTATACAAATAAAAAATACATATAATTTTTTTGATTTGTTTTCTCCCCGACGAATTGTGATTTTTCTCCCCCTAGCCGCCCCCCACCCCCCCCCCTACTGGGCCAAACCCAGGTCAGTGATAGAACTACTTTCCACTGGGGCCCTCAAATCATCAAAACACATGGAATCCATATTATGATACAAAAAAAATTATAAATTAAAAAAATAAAATTATGTTATACAACTATCGTTAAATAATTACATAATAGTCATTTGGAATTCGTTATACCATTATTATTATAATTATTAACACTTACTACATACAATTTATATTTATTTATTCATTACATAATAATATAATATAATATGGAATAGACAATAACTAGATTTGCGTCAGGAGAATCAAGTATAGATGTAATTCTGCCCAATGTACTGAATACTCAGTACGTGTGGAAACACTTGCGAAACAAAATTCGCAAGTTGTTTCGGGTGGGACTCGAACCCACGATCTCCAGCTACCCTGGCAACATACCTGTAGACCACCGAGCTTGCGCCTGATGGTCAGGGTTGAATGCGAACCCAAGTAAGCAGCGGGTATTACATTGTGAATATAGTATTTGTTGATAGTATTGTTATTGTCGTGATGGAATAGACAATAACTGGATTTGCGTCAGGAGAATAAAGTATATAGGTGTAATTTTGCCCTACCTGACGTGGAAATGTACTGAAAATTCAGTACGTGTGAAAACCATTGCGAAAAAAAATCGCAAGTTGTTCTTGAGTGGGACGCAAGCCTACGATCTCCAGATCACTAGCCTGGCATCATACCTCTAGCCCACCGAGCTTGCGCCTGATGGTCAGCGTTGAATTCGAGTCCAAGTAAGCAGCGGGTACTGCAATGTTGAGAGTAATTGTTATTGTCGTGATGGAATATAACAGGATTTGCGTCAGGAGAATCAAGTATAGGTGTAATTTTGCCCTACCTGACGTAGAAATGTACTGAATACTCAGTACGTGTGAAAACAATTGCGAAAAAAAATCGATGGTTTTTCTCGGGTGGGACCAGATATAGTAGGCCTATTTGTTATTATCGTGATGAATTAGACAATAACTGGACTTGCGTCAGTAGAATCAAGTATAGGCCTAGGTGTAATTTTGCCCAACCTGACATGAACATTTCGCAAGTGTTTCCACACGTACTGAGTATTCAGTACATTTCCATGTCAGGTTGGGCAAATTTACATCTATACATAAATATTATTTATAAAAATTTAAACTCCACTCCCTAAACCTCATATTGAGATGTAGTTCAACTACAAGTAGGACAGTGGTATTGTGTTGTGTGCCTAAATAATTAATAATAAATAATATCTCTAAAAATTCCAATAACATTTGTCATGAACGACGTCTGATGACCAAACTATATTATGACCTCACGTTATTTTATTACAATTATAACTGTTTCATGAGTTGTTATTTAGCATTCTTTATTTTGAAAATAGTGACGAAATGGCTGAATACAAGTTAGAATTTACTGCTGCGGAATATACTCATTTTGAGCAGACTGCTGACTGTGTTGAGGATACAGCCGCTGTATCTGCACCAGAACACAACGTAACTGATACAGTTCGTGCACCGTACAATACTACAGGTGCTTCCACTACTGTGCCATGTCTAAAGTCTCATCACCGATCCTTGGTTGCTTCAAGTCTTCTTCTTTTAATTTTAGTAACAGCTGGTACATGTAAAGGGTATATACAAGGAATAGTGATGCTTGTTACTCACTACTTGCAAATGACTCAAGCAAACACTTCCACAGTTCCACTTTCGTTCGATTTTGGTTTCACAACTGCAGTTCTGTTTGTTAGTTACAATGGTGGAAAACGTCACAGAACTCGTTGGATAGCGGTAGGAACACTTTTTATTGGTCTGGGTACATTGCTATCCACTCTGGGATACTTTATATCTAAAGATGAAATTAATGATTTGGGAGCTCCAATTCTTTCGATTCAACTATGTAATATGAGTGATAGTTATAGACGTGAAGAAAATGAGCCCGGCCCTGGAACACCAACATTGAGCTGGTTATCCATTGGACTGATTATGTGTGGGTTTGGCGCAGCACCTCAGATTTGTTTGGGGTTAACGTATATATGCGACATTCTTCCAATGAAGTACACTCCGCTTTACATAGGTAAGTTTCAAGATAGAAAACATTGAGATGTTAATTCATTGTTATATGCCTATATTACGTTTAAAGCTAGTAAATAATATGAACTTCAAACGAAATTAGGTTTATAGGCCTAAGGTTATCAAACGATTTGATTAACCAAATTTAGGATCGACAACAAAAGACAAATTTCAAAAAATACTAATGAAAAATGTATTTTTTTAATAAGCGGCGATATTTACAGCAAATGGATTAGGGCTGATCCTAGGTGAACTGTTAAGCTTCAACATGCGGAAAGAAATAGAGAATGTAACTCAAGAACCGGCTGTCTGGGGGTCAGCTGCAATGAATCGTTGGTGGGTTGGTTTCTGTATGATGGGACTATTTGTATTACTAATTGGACTAATTATCCTGACATTTCGCAAGATTGATGCAACTACAGACGATGGTGAATCTCCAGAGGTGCGTCACATAGGCCTATGCCTACAACACGAAACACTTGGAAAATATAGACCACTTGCAGATGAAGTCACCATATCATCCAGTAATTAAAAGCTAATTTTATGATTTTGAATTTACATGAAATTTTAAGGAACGGGTATAGGCTTGTTGGTAGGCCTGCTGATAGCATTACGTGAAACTGTTTAACTTAATTACCAGTATTGGCCTGACTCAATGCCTGTATGTCTATACTTTAATCTAAATAATTTGGTATTAATTTAATATATAAATAACTTGTTTAAGTTTTTTAAACTGTCAATGTATTTTTACTAGGAAGAGTTCGGCCTAAAACTATCGTCCGTTTACTTCAGAACCCGACTTTAATGACTAGTTGTGCTGCTCATGCATTTGAAGCTGCCATTTTCTGCGGAATTTATCAGTTCCTGCCAGCTTTTCTGGAGAGAGATTATTCTGTCGAAGGAGGATTGGCTGATATTAGGATAGGTAATCATGTAGCCAATTTGGATTTTTTAAAAATCAATACTGTCCACAGGTGGTGAAATTTGTTAATATAGGCCTATGCATTAATTTCTTTATTTTAGACGTTAATCAGGATTAATTTGTATACAATACTGTAATACTTTGAACAGATCGGGAATCCAGAAAATGTGTTTGGATTTTTTTTATATGTAAAACACCCAATGAAAAAGTAAAATAATGCTCGAATACTGTTTGTTTACACTCATGTGCTCTACAGCAAGTGTGGTAATAACTGGTTTAATTACTGGTGGAATATGTGCAGCTATAGTTCTTATCAAGGGGCAAGTATTGCAGCTGAAATCACTCTGTCTGACGGTACTTGTATTCGGTGTGATATCGATGGGCCTATATTGGTCTTTCTTTGCGCCGTATTGTAATGGAATCGAAGTTTCTCCATATCAGCACAGGTAAAAACAATTGACATTCGCTAGTTATCACATTTTAAGTAGTAAGGCGCATGCTTTCTAATTTTTATATTCATTTGAAATACCCACCCAAATGAAATTAAAAGAATAAAATTGCAATGTTCTCAGAAATATGAATGCATCTGTTTGTACTGCTTCATGTCGTTGTTCGCAAGACTATTTTCCAGTTTGCGGCTCAGATGGTGTTGTATATGCGTCTCCTTGCTATGCTGGATGTACCCATGGAAACTATACAGTAAGACATTGTTTAACCCCTGTCTCTTATACACATCTGACTGATTATGTGTGGGTTTGGCGCAGCACCTCAGATTTGTTTGGGGTTAACGTATATATGCGACATTCTTCCAATGAAGTACACTCCGCTTTACATAGGTAAGTTTCAAGATAGAAAACATTGAGATGTTAATTCATTGTTATATGCCTATATTACGTTTAAAGCTAGTAAATAATATGAACGGTTGTTCCTACAACCTTCTTCAGCGCTAATAATATAATAAAATTATCCTTTAGGACTTTCTGGATTGTTCTTGTCCGAATTCTAACAATGGTAGTAAGGGCAGCGCTGTTGCTGGTGTGTGTAGTGCCAACTGTGACCCGATGTGGAGTATTCTTCTCCTCCTATTTTTCACAGCTTTCGTTACTGGAATTCAGGAAGTTCCAGCTACACTTGTTGTCTTAAGGTATACATGATGATAATGAAAATGATAATGATGATGATGACGATAAAGATAATGGTGATAATGATGATGACAAAGGTGATGGTGATAATGATGATACCTGAAAATGATGTTGACAGTGATGATTATAATGATTAGGGATTGTGTTTATCACATTTATTCGGTTATTTAAGTGAAATATACTATCTGTGCTCATTTCTTTTGACTTTAGAAACATTCACCTATGATTTTCTGGTGGAATTTATGATAAATATAATAACATTATTGGTCTATGGTTGCTGATGACACGCTAGAAAAGTGAGATGTTTTGCAATGTATGTGATTGATTATGACCAGGAAGACGCGCTGTCATAAAAGGCGCTATATAAATTTATTTAGTGATTGATATAATTTCTTCCATGCTTGAACTGTACATTCAATAATATCGAACACTTCTTTAAGTCCTATTTTTTAAATATACAAAATATTATTTATTTTGTACAGCACTCATAAATCTTAGCATATAAATTGAATAATTTTACCCAATATCATTACAAAGACTCATAGAGTTATTTAATGAACGTTCCATTCAGTTGGTCTACATATGAATATGCATAGTGTTCACATATAATTCAGACATACACTACTAGAATTAAACTTAACTTAAAAAGAATAATCAATCAACCAACCGTCGATCAACCGATCAACTAATCAAAACTTGTTTTGAAATAGGTGTGTTTCTCATGGTGACAGATCCGTGGCTATTGGGCTAATGCTTTTTATTACCCATTTGCTTGGTAAGTAACAATTATTTAACCTAATTAAAAAAAATGTTTTTTTAATCGGATAATTTTGGAACAATTGTTTTTTTCTTTTTAAATCGTATTCGCGGTAAAATTATGGGTAAACATTTTACTTACATTACATTTGTAGATAAATATTTCAGTTAATAATTTCTTGAGTCACTTTATTTTTTAAATTATTGTTTTGAGTATTTCGAGGGGCAATACATCTTTAATTGTGATGTTTTTTTTTTCATTTCTTATAGTTGTTATTGCCATATTTACCGTCCTTGTCACAATAGGGCTTACTTTCCATACCATCACCCCTTCTCATTACCGTTGTCACATTCATTGGCATTATCATGCTTATCAATCTCTCACCCCTTCGTTAACCATTAATGTCATTCATCACATTCCCATCACTGTTGTCATACCTTTTAGCATCATCTGCCTCATTATTCTTATCCACCCTAATATATTACCGTCACTAAACTTTCCATTATTTGTATTCATCACTTTATTCACATTCAACATAGAGAACATGCATAATCGCAAACAAAGATAAACATAACATGAAGAAAAACGAATTGATAAAGGAACGGAGAAGTCATAGACTCGTCTACATAACAGGACATACAAGGGAGACAAAGAGGGACATTCGCAAATAACAGGGTTACAGAACTGACAGAAAATGTCATAGTCACATTCATTGACATGATCATCCTCATCAAATCCCCTCTCATCCATTATCTCGCCTTGTCCATCAACGTTATCACACTTATCACCATCCTCATCAAACCCCTACCATCAGTTATCATGTCGCCTTTTCCGTCAACATTGTCACACTTCATCATCATCCTTATAAAACCCCTCCTACCATCCATTATTCCATCACTTTTTCCGTCAACGTGTTCACACTCGCTGTCATCGTCATCCTCATGAAAACCCCATATCCATTATTTCCTTGCCTTTTCCACCATCGTCGTTACGTTCATTGTCATTATCATCCTCGTCAAAACCCCTATCAACCATTATCGTCAATCGTTGTCTCTTCTATCACCTCACCGTTGTCATATTCACATTTATCAGCTCATCAAAACTCCTCTCCATTAGTATCGTTGCTACTGGTTTTTTCTACCCTCACCCAACACCAAATCCAAATTCACACCACATAATTAGTCACAGTTGCACGTCATCTGCTTCATCCCATTTATCATAGTCATTGTTTTTGTTCAGGGGTGGATCCAGGATTTGAGAGAGGGTGGTTCAAAATGTTTTGAAAAAAACCCAAAATGGGGGTGGGGGTTCGTGGGTCTTCCCCCGGGAAAATTGTGATTACTAGATGGCCGGAAATAAGCTTTCCCGACTTTTGAGGAGTCTTTTAATGACCTTTCAGTTCTTCAAAATTCAAGGTTCTTTCCCCCTCTTGATAAAGCTCAGGTAATTTTATCTCATTCTTTATAGGCCTATCCATGGACAAAAAAAATCAGAGACATAGGAAATATATTATTATATTCCAACAATATTGAGTAGTTAGATATTTAGTTTTTCTTCCATGTATCGATGGACCGATATGCCTGAAGAACGCACTTTCCTACATAGGCCTAATTATTACGACGTCGAACCAAAAATAGTGTGTATAATTTATTTAATTGAAGACTAGTTGGGCTAAGACTACCGTAGTTTGTCTGATCTGCCAACATATGCCTAGGTGAGGTTAGCATGCCTTTTGTAAGCCAGGACCCAGTAGTATTGTGTTACGTTTTTTCACAGATGGGGGTTCGAACCCCCTGAACCCCCTAGATCCGCCACTGTTTTTTTTTTTTTAAATATTAATCAATCCTCCCTCCCTTATCGTGTTACCCATCACATTCGTTGCCACACTATCTTCGTAACCCACGTCATTCACTGTTTCATTATTTACTTTCCCATTACCAACATCATCAATGCCTTTTATCTATCGGAAAAAGATTTCTTTTTTTTTAAATTAAAGCAGATGGATATTCTTTTTATGTATTCATTGTCTTAATTTAATACTGTAGTAGATGGAGCTGTGTTAGTCAGGTAGACGGATGAAATAAAAACACTGGTAGCGCTTAATAGATATTACACGAGTGGAATGGATGAGCGGTTAAGGGCCCCCGCACCATACAGCCATCGGCGCCGGTTCGAACGGAGGTGGAGATGAAGTCTTTTCGGATAAGGAATAAACTGAGGCCCAGTGTATACAATTGGCTTATGTAGACTGTTGGAAAAAGTACTACCCATGTTTTTAATTCATAAAATACAGTACTGGAAAATGAAGAATGTGTGAACCTCATTCTACTTTCTCTTTTACTTTTTAGGGCTTTTACCAGCCGTTATCTACTTTCCAGCACTTCTCAAACACTCGTGTTTATTGTCGCAACCTACAAATGAAACATATTTTTATGAGTGTTTAGCATATGATTCTGTGCGGTTTCGATATATATTTTTTGGCACAATCATAACACTAAAATGTCTAGCACTTTTTTTCTTTTCTTTGTCATGGTGCTCCACAAAAAAGCCATCGCCAATTGGACTCAACGAACGTTCGTCTGTACATACTAGTTCGTATGTGAGATTTGGTATGGAGGGTTATGACGAAACATTCGAACTATGAACTAAAGCACTTAAAGTTCATTTGTATTGATAATGTCTGTGTAAAGTGGTATAGATAATGTGCCATATAATCTCGAAACATAGATAGTTTCGATTATAAAAATATCTTCCTAACATGTTTGCGTGAACATGCTTCTCTGTATTTTTTATCCCGTCGCTCAACACAGAGGAGACATAGCAATATGGACTCGTTAACAAATAGTAATCCTAATAGTTATATGGCTTAGCGTTAATGACCCAAAACTGTATTGCAATTTTAGCTTACTACTTATCTTAATTCATTAGGCCTATTATTTCTGTTGTAACTTAATTCGTGGTGTTACAACAAAATCTTCCAAAACTAAAATGACAAATAAACGAATAAAATGCAAAATAATAATAATAATAATAATAATAATAATAATAATAATAATAATAATGAGAATTTATATAGCGCAAATTATAAAACAATGTTAAAATCAAATGCGCTTTAGACTGAAAGTTATGTTTCCTTTAAACATAATGTTTTGATGTTAGCTTTGAAAGTGGATATTGTAGAAGATTGCTTACGATGTAATGGTAGAGAGTTCCAGAGTAGTAGCTGCAAATGTGAAAGATCTGTTGCCGATAGTTTTGAAGTTGGTTCAAGGAATAGATAAAAGACATTGGTGAGAGGATCAAAGGGAACGAGAAGGGGTATATTTGGAACGGTGGTCAAGAAGGTAGAAATACAGTATCTTTCGTACTCAAAAGCACCCGATTTTGTACTACACACACAAAACTAACTAATCTTCTGTGGTTTTATTAGAGCACCAGAATTTGGTTTCAGTCAATTTTATCAATTGTAAACGGCCAGACATCACGATTACACAAGTTACGTTATCGATATTCTCGAAGGTACAGTTTTGGTGTTGCATTTATTTCTCTTCTTCAATTATGTTGACCCTCAATACTGCGAAACAAGAGGAAATTCCCAACATAAATATAACTAAAATAATAAGAAAAACTAAAATAATAAGAAAAACTAAAATCAGTTAATAAAACATAAGGCAATCCAAAAACTAAGTGTCTGTCTTATTCTATGGCGTCTGGATACACATCAAATCACTTATTTAAACGTAGGTGTCATATGCAAACAAACTTTAGATATAAGATTCAATAACAGCACACACTTTTCACTTGAATTTCACAGAAAGAATTGTTTGTATGTGCTCCTGTAATGGATTATTTTTAATTTCTTCGGTGCAAACGACGAAAGTCTGAATTGGTATTTCCATTGGGCTCAATACAGTAGGCTACACTGGGAGTAAATCCTCTACTCTTTTCCGAAGAGTGCAACTGCGCTCGTATATCCAGTGAGAGGGGTCCTTAAAAGCAGTACAGTCGAGTCAATCCCTTACTCTTTTCGGAAGAATGTACTACATTCGAATTTCCAATGGGGTCCTTATGGTGAAAAGCTGGGCAGTACACCCACTGGAAATAAGTCTTCTTCTAGACTTTCGTGGGCTATTCTCGGTGTTTACACCAAAAAAAAATCCAATCCAATCCAATACATATGGAAGTCAATCCCTTACTCTTTTGCTCTTTTCCGAAGATTATTAGGCCTACCACTCAATCAATTACTTTTTTGTTGATAGGCTATGTCAAGGCCAAGTTTTATTGAATTGAATTCAATGCCCGATACGATCATATCGGTCATAGTCTATCGACGGGAAATGTTACTTAACTAATTCCCCCAATTCTTTCAGTAGCTGCTTGAAGAAAATTTATAAGCAACAGCTGAAATGTAAACCTAAGTAAACAGCCAATAATAGAAATACCTGTATAGCTATTGTACCGAGCTTAATAATACAATAACAGGGAGTGCGCTATATCTAGTATGTAAACGTCGCAATTAGTATCGACCAAAAGAAGACAGGTTGCATGGTTTTGATAGTTTCATATTATTTTTTACATGGCACAGAATGCGGAACACCATTTTGTCCAGCAAAAGACACGTGGTCCAGTGAAAAACTTCTGTAAAATTCATTATTTTTCCCACAGTTAATATGAAATATGGATTATATCACTTCGGGCAATCGGGTCTTCTATGATATATGTTGTTAGTTTTTCAGACCGTAGGTTTCGTATCCGAGACGTTTATTTAGGCCCTAGGTTTTGCATTATAAATAAGCTTTGAAATAAGCGTAGGCCTAATTACAATATAGATTATTATAAGCTCTGTACAAGCAGCTCTTTTTGTTGCACAGAGCTTATATATTATATAATGGACCTTTTAACTATATGACTATATACAATAGGCGGTTATCATTCAATTCAATTCAAATTTATTTGAGCATAATTCAACACATTACAAATCACAAAACAATGAACAATAAAAAGATAATTTAGTAAAACATTTACAGCTCAGGATAAAAAAAAACCGAATCGGTTTATTTCAGTTGGGGTCCCTTAAATGAAAAAAAAAATACATAAAAGTTGGTTAAAAACTAAAACAAACATTGAAAATTTATAACAACCTTTAAAATTTATAATAAAAGTAAAACTAATAAAAGAAATAAAACCCATTAAACCTTAAAAGTATGTAAAAGTGAATGTGAAAAAACAGGTAAAAAACATTTAAATTTATTTAAAAACATTTAAAACTCCTTATTAAGTAAATCTAATAAAAACTCTCGTTAGCATTAAAAGACGTAAACATGAAAGTAAAAAAGCAGGTGAAAAGCGGTAGGTATTTCACAAAAAATTATGTTTATGTTTAAAGCATATTTATATGTTAAAACTGTTTACTGATTGTTTGTCGTTTCCATTTGTTTTTAATAAGCCAATGGTTGCATGACTGTAGTTCATTACTCAATATAGATGAAATTTCATTTGGATTTTTACCATCTACAATGATAGCTGTATCGACTGCGTACATAAATGGTTTTGACTTTACACTAGTTGTAATATCATTGATATAACATATGAATAGCAATGGACCGAGAATACTGCCTTGTGGTACTCCGCACGATATATTTAGAGGTGCTGACATAGCTTTTTTTAAACATTCTACTTGTTTTCTATTAGTTAGATAGGACTTTCATTTTATTATCATCATTATCCTTACTATGTTATAAATAATAAAGTAGGTGGCTATGAAAAATTAATTAAACGAGTGAATTTTTAGCGTATTGCCACGCTCCACACATTTGCCGTTGTCGGAAATAAAAATACTGTACAACAAAAAAAAAGGCTCTAATCTTCGTCACTAGAGTAATATAAAGTATATGTAGGCGTTGCATTCCGGAACATTGTGTCTAAATTAAGCCGACAAAAGGTTCCTTTTATGTACAGTACATAACAGGTATTTGAATCATGCCAATAGGTCTAAAGTAGTTTCTTTGTTGGTGATCAGATTAAAACGAATAACAAGTCCCGGCTTTTGTGGAATTTCCCCAAATTTTTTTGTGATGTATTGATTTTAGTATTTCGATGAACAATTGGTAACAAGAAGGACCTTGTATGGCTTTATAATTTCAGTTCATATTAATAACCCCCACTAACAGCCCTACTTTTTTTGGTTAAACCTTTTGGTTTTGGCTGTTGCTAACTGGTAATGAGTACCTACCCGTTGGCACCAGTCTGTTGCCAATAAAGTTCAATTCAATTAACATTTATTCAATTAATTAATCAAATACATCAAATGATAAATAAAGTGGACAACATTAAAATTAATTAATTAGGATAAAAAATAGAAGCGAAGCTTGTCTCAATTTGACCCCGACAAAACAAAAAGTAAAAACTAATAATAAACGCATATCAAGTAGACCTATATTATATATCTATATATATATATATATAAATACACATACACACATATACATACACATACATACATATATGCACACACACATACACATATATATACATACACATACGCCCATTATATTTACATATACATATATATATATATATATACATACACATACACACACACACACATATATATATATATATATATATATATATTGAAGTGTGGGTTTGCATGTATGCTCCAAGTAAAATAAAATGCAAAAGCAATGAAAAAACGGTGTACAATCATTGAAAGTTGACTTGCGGAACACAAATTTATTAAGCTATAACACCGCCAATAAACTATCGCTTACATAATCATTTTGCCATCTTATCATGGTTTAATTGTAATTAATTCGCCCATTCACTCAACTTATATTTGTGTGTATCAATACAATTAGTTGATTGGACCACAAAAGCTTGGTTCACGTCGAAATTTTATCTAGATATACATCCACTTAACTAGTTAAAAGTTCGACGTGAACCACTCAAGTATAGCTAGTTAAAGGAATTATTTAAGTGACTTAACTTTACTAGAATAACGGTAAATTAACTTGCTTAACGGTAAAGTCGGCTCGGATTAAAAGGACACGATTACGTAACGTAGGCATCTAAGCCAGCTTTGTTGTATATATTTCCTCCATGGTTGTATTGTACCACCATTATCATCTTCTGGCTGCCAACAACGTACTTCAACAATGCTAACAACAGCATCGAAGTAGTCTCATTAGTCTGGTTTTCAGAAATTATTTGTAATATTTTGGGTAAACACCCAGCAAACGTCCGTTTTACGAATAGTCGATATTACGAGACTGTCTCTTATACACATCTAGATGTGTATAAGAGACAGGTGTAAACTCACATGCAACTGTTGGCCTTAAGTTGTAGGGTGTAAACTCAGTTATGCGCAACTATTGGCCTTAAGTTGCAGGGTAACCTCAGTTACGCTACTGTTGGCCTTAAGTTGCAGGGTGTAACCTCTGTTATGCTACTGTTGGCATATGCAACTGCAGGCTTTTAACAATGACATTGATGAACATCACAAGAAATTAGAGTAGCATAAACATTTATCAAGTTATATTACAACAAACATGATAATTACCATAAAGACAACTACAATTATTATATAAAATGTGACTGGCTCTGGCAAAACCCTCCGTTGGTAGAAAAAAAATTCAAAATTGAGATTGTGTTTTTAGATTATGCGAGTAGTCTTCTTTAAAACAGTGTTTATTTGATGGAAATTGGTTAAGTATTAGCAAAGTTATGAATATTTATTTCACTGGATATCAGCCATGTAGGTTTTGAGAAATCAGCTTCCAAAGATTCCAAAATCAATAGCTTGTATTTTAAAAATAATTTTTTTAATGTACTTTTCAGTCAGATTTAGTGATTAATATATGTTCTTCAATATATGTTCTTTTATAAAATGCAAAAACATGAAAATGTTTAAAATTCTAATTCTTGAATGTTTTGGGTGCTTGTAGAAAATGCGACAAATGGAGGGTTTTTCCAGAGTCGGTCACAAATATTGACAGTGTTTACAACATTAGTGTCAAATGCATTATATTAGCTTAGAAGAATTACATTACAAAATCTGAAATTCAAATACTGAAAATTATAAAACAAATAATTATGTAATACAAGTACAAGTACGTGAATAAATAACTGTGTCATGATAAAACTTGCCAATTAGAATAAACATAGATGATGTTATCTATAACCCAACATTTATTATTATTATTATTATTATTATTATTATTATTATTAATAATAATAAAAATAATAATAATAATAAAATTAATAATAATAATATACAAACTAATACCTTGTATCTTTAAATTTTTACCCCCCAAAAAAGTCTAGTTTAATGATTTACCTAAAAAAAAAAAAAAAAAAACAAGTATAGAGACTTAAAAGAAAATGATTAAAGATAATTTGTATATCTATGGATCTTAAGTTAAATCCTTTATGAAAAATATATAATTACCTGTATATACAATAAAGCGTCATCTTAAACAGTGCAGTAGTAATAGTACTACACTTTTAATGACACAGAAGGAATGTCTGCATGCCTGAAACTGATATCATTTATGTAATGTAAAATGAAGAAATATACTGCACCATTTATCAAGGGATACCATCATTACTTATGCTGATTGGGTTCAGAATATCTGGGACGAAGTGCAACAAATTGCAAACTCTGTGGATTTCATCTAGTCATCCTTACAATATAAGGTAGCACAGATTAATATATCCAACAGCACACCATCCTACACATTTGCACTCCTGGATAGTGTTTGCCCAAGAACACAAGAAGAATTTACAGTGAAGGTTCGACTCCCTGACAACAAGGTTGAAAGACTGAAACGCAACCACTGTGTCAACTGCTCCCACAATATGAATGTATTATATTTTAATAAATAAAGCCTCTGCTACAAAAGCGCATTCACACAATTATTTCTGTTTTACTCGTCCCAGACATTCAGTATTTTTAAGTTTGTCACTATAAAAAAGTAGACTAAAATATTTAAAAAGTACTCGAGTAAACGAATCAATTAGCTTCACATCTACAACTCGATACAATTACTTACAAAATTCTACAAAAATGTGTTCTGATCCAGCTGTACTTGCACAAACATTAGAGTCACTTTAAGAAACTCATTAATATCATCAATGATTTTCTAAATGTACCCTTACATTGGTGTTCAGTCCATCTTTAAGTTGACATAAATGTATCGGATAAACTTGAGCGAGGCAAAAAATGAGACGGTGCCAAGCATGAGAAAGAACATGTAGCATGCAAGAATTGAGTATCCAAAAAACTCAACAGTTTGTAATGAGCCCGACATACTGGATCGCTTGTAGTAGTAGAAAATAGAATACAAGAAGACAAACATGCCAGTTGATCTGAAAAAAAAAAAGAAACATAATAAAAACATAAATGCAATAAAAAAAAAAAGAGAAAAAGACAGGAGATGAAAATAGCTGCCAAGGATATCCCATAAAGTATTATATTATGATTGCCATATATATTGATTACTATTATATTCTTTTTCATTTCATTCCTATTAATTTAATTTTACTACTAAAATGCAAATCAAAAAAATAATTATAATTCCAAGATCCTTGAATTTTCTTGCGGTAAACTCTACTTCCTTATCATAATTAATGCTCTAAGTTTACACAGCATTGTATTGGCATCTTGTAGTTTAAAAATGTACATGTTGCTAAAGATAAATTTATATACATAAATTAGGTAAAACGATGTAAAATACATACCCTGCACTAAATATAGAACGCCACCACCATCGGTAGTCTTCATTCGAGAGCTGGAAATATGTAAGAGCAACAGAGATGCATGCTGTCACGCTCAATAAGATGCCATACACGACAAAAAGAATTCCGTACAGGGTATACTGCTCACGCCCCCATAGTGTGGCAAATATGTAGTACAATTCCACTGATATAGCGCTAAAAATTTATAGAAAAAAATGTGTGATAATTTGTATATACTGTATAATATACTGAATGCAAATGTAAGTAAATGATTACAACGCATAAAGTCTCAAGGCCCTTTTGAGAATGCATGCTTACTTGCATTAAGGTCTCATGACACCTTCTTAAAATGTACAGTATGCTATACTTACATTGTGGTTATATTTTTGTAGGAGCCCTTTTATATTGTATGATTAATTGCATTGAAGCCTCATGTTCGGGTCTCTTTTCAGAATGTATGCTTACATGAATTGGGGTCTCATGCTAAGGTACCTTTTTAGAATGTACAGTATGCTTACTTACATTGAGGTCTTATTTACATTGGTCTTATTTTAGGAGCCCTTTTATTAGACTGTATGCTTAATTGCATCCTTATGGTCCCTTTTCATAATGAGGCCTCGAGGTAGGGTCATATTCTTCCATGTGACCCATAGCAAACACTATAATAATGTATACTTGATTACTGTCACAATTACCTGAATGGAAGGAATCCACCAATTACACAATGCATGAACACCGACCTATACCAAGGTACACTTGGAATCTCACGAGCAATATTCTTGGTGCGACATGGTGCATCAAAACTTCCAGCAAAGTTTTTACCAAATATACCACCAATCACAGTCAATGGATAGCCAACTATACAACCAAAAATTAGTATATCATTAACATTTTTTATCAATTCTTATACTGATGACAAAGATAATGATGACAATAAACTAATAAGAAGTTTAATTTATGCAGACAAACAATCTACTTTGAACAAAAGGCACGAACTCCTTTCAAAATGCAGACACCGTGCCAAATTCCTACTCAAAAACACATAATACCTAATTTGCATCTACACCGGCCCAACTCTACATATACACGTCAAATTTGAAATTCCCTTCACTCGTACACCGGGGTAACCCGGGGCAATCCCCTACTCTTCTCGAAGGATGTACTGGGTTCTTTAAAGCGCACACGAGCCAAACGCGTACACTGGGACTATTTTACAGTCCTTTCCGGAACCATTGGCGCGCGAGCCGTTTGAACCAGCGCCGATATTATAGCTGAAGGTTACGGTGCCCCTAAATTAAGCACTCGGCCAACCATTCGCTTGAAATTGTATTTTATTTATTTATTTTTTTTTTGTATTTAGGCACACTTTATTCAAAAATTGAATACACGGGCACATGGCCCAATAGGTACAACATAACTGGCACGCAAACCAGAGTCACCATGAAAAAATCTTGAGGAACATGCAACGTAATTTAATCACTTTTTTTTTTTTTTTTTTTTGTATAATCATTTATTTTATTATTATACCTAATTTACTTATTTATTTCCTTAATTTGGTAAAGTAGGCATTCAACCATCCTTAAGTTTTTGTGTACCCCAACATTCACCGTCACCCAAGGACACACCAGTAAATGCTGCCTGGTGAGGTTTACGGAATTACCGCACAGCTTACATGAGCAAGCATTATTAAGGTGGTAACAATTAGCTATGCTACACCAAAGGTTATGGTAAGCCGTACCTATCCACCGCCCCATCGTTTTCCTCATTGGCCCACGCAACAGGGTCACATTTGGAGGGGTCTGAATGCCATCACGAATCAGCGATGGTAAAGTATTTAATCTAAAGTAATTTTGGAGAATATCTCCAGCACCCACCCAACCAGATTCATCAAGGAGATGAGAGTTGGAACTAAATTTTGAAACACCCCACCAGTATTTTAGTAGACGGCACTGCACAAGAGTTATGTAATCAAAGTCAGCACTGGTCATTTGTGCAACAAAAGCTTTCAGGCCATAAGTTGCGGACAGCAAAACTACAGTGAAAAAAAGTCTCTTAAGTGAGGTCAGAGACATGTTTTCAAGGGGCATATTAACTGCAATCTTCACACAGGTGGAAATTCCTTTCTTTTTTGGGTAATCTATGTGTCCTTTATAACCTCCCTTAGTTTTAAACACAACACCCAAATAAATAAATTCAGAAACAAACTCGATGTTTGAACAGCCACAGAGAACACTGTCTCGGGCTCCGAGACGCCCCCCCTCTACAAAATTTTACTATCTTCGTTTTACTGACATTAATTGTCAGTCCATTGCTCTCGCAGTAATTAGATAGCAAATTAATAGATTTTTGCAACAGCTCAACTTCTCTCGTACATATGGCAAGATCATCAGCATACAGTAGAGTAGTGATGTTGCCCGGAGCTTCAACACACGAGGGCAGATCATGTGTGAAGAGAATATAAAGGAGAGGTGATAGGCATTCACCTTGGGCCAGGCCAATGTTCTGTGCGACTGCTTCACTCAATACATTATTTGTTAAAATTTTAATGTAATTCTCTCTCAGTAGAGACCACAACGCTTTCATAACCTTGGGATGCAATCCTAGTTCACAAAGCTTCCGAAGCAACCTACCCCTGTCCATGCTGTCAAATGCCTTTTTAAAATCCACAAACGCCACATAGAGTGGGCATTTGGGAATAGTTAAGGTGTTATTTATTAGCATGTTACTGCTTTGACAGCGGTTTCAGTGGATAGGTTGCTTCGGAAGCCATGCTGTTGCACAGGCAGTATCCCTTGGGTTTCTGCCCAGTTTAATATACGTTTACTTAGTATATACGTATAACATTTTAGAACACATGATGATAATACAATACCCCTATATGAGTCTGGGTGTGACAACGATCCTTTGCCCTTATATATTGGCAACAAGTAGCCAATCAGCCAATCAGATGGGCAACAACTGTTTAGAAAACAAAAGTTTAAAATTTGAGTTATTGGAGTTACTAAGATCTCACTACAGTTTTTCAAAACATCATAGGTGATGCATCCGGCCTGGCCGCTTTACCCGCTTTCCCCCTACCAAATGCAATTAAAACTTCGGACCCATCAATGGGCCACAAAAAAGGATCATCAACTGTCACTACATTTGCGTAGTAAGGCAACATCGGTAGATTGTCAGTATGCAATAAGGCACTAAAGTGATCAAACCACATTTCAAGGGACACCTGGGATCCACCCGACCTTGTTTTTCTAGTTCTCCAAAGTGACCAGAAATCGCAGATACTGGCTTCAGCCTTTTCAATCATCCGTATTAATTGCTCCTCCTGATATTTATGTTTTTTTCTTTCTCTTGAGGCGCTGGAATTCTGCTACAAGTTGTGAATTATTAGCTAACAGTTTCTTACTGTTGTTTTTCTTTATTCGAGCGTATGAACGTCGCGTTTTTACCTTTAATTCAAAGCATTCTTTATCAAACCACGGTCGAGATTTTCGTTTGCGCGATTTGATGCAGGAGTTCTTGATTGCATTACAAAGGTACAGATACGCGTCCTCTACATTGTTTGCCTCATTACCATGATCACAGTTTAGAATGCTATATAATTCCTCTACGTCCACACTTATTGCCAGTTTATTGTAATCAACCTTGCGAATAGGGCCGCTTCTCACACCCATTTAAAGCCCGGTTCCCACTAAACTTGTCAAGCGAAAGCGACGAGCGTCACGCGGCAAGCGAAGCGAATCGGGCAAAGTTCACAAGAGTTGACTTTCGGTAAAGAATGTCTCGCTTCCAATGATTCGCTTGCCTGTTCCCACTGCTGGCCGCGCGCAAAAACTCTAAATGGCGGGTGGCAACAGAGAAGTGATTTTGTTATCGCATTGACAGACGGAGGAAAAGGGCTGTGAGACGAATCAGATAAAATCCTCATGATTAACATTCCCAGAACTCTATAATGAATCAAAAGAGTGAATATAAATATAGTTTTTTTTAGTATATTTATTCAAGGCCTAGAGCTAGGCCTCCTAAGGGTAGATAGTAGGCCTAGCCTCAGGTAGTAGCAGGGTATCAGAGGCCTAGGCTGGACAGGCCTAATACTGGTAGAAAGAGGAGATAACTCAACTCGTCTCTGCAAATCCTTTTCCACGCATTGTCACATATTTTCTTTGCTCCCTTGTCACAGACCTAAACAAGGGTAGCCTACTGTTCCACCGAGTTTGCATGAAACGGACTCGTTGGTCATCATTCGCACATCTGTATATTGTTTTGACAATGGTCGCGACTTTATTGTTGACCTTTGACAAAAATTGAATCTAAGCCTTGCGATTGGTCCATCGCTCGCGAATCCGAAAAGGTTGGTCTTGGATCAACTCTTGTGAATTCGCAGGCGAAGCCTCCGCGACCACCGCGCCGAAGTTCGAATATTGGGCGTTCGCGTGTTCGGCTACAAATTTGTTTGCATGTTCACATTGGAAACACCAGTCGCGTCTTCGATTCAGCTGCGCGCGCCACATTTTCGATCGCGTTCAGTGGAAACCGGCCTTTATTTGGTGAGCACTCATAACTATTACTTATAACTCATAACTCATAACTAATTATATTATAGGCAATGTTTTAATAATTTAATTTTAAATAAATGGAGGAGGTACATGGAACACGCTGTGAAAATCTAAACAAAATATCTCATTACTGTGCTACCCATTGACTGGTTATACCATCGTTGGAATGGAATGTAAATCCATTGAAAATGAAAGGCACTTTTAATCATGCCTCATCAGTCAATAACGATCTTTATCATTACCATATGGACAACGGCGTCTCCAAGTCTAGATAACGATGACAGTTCCCATCCCATGGTAAATCGTGAAAAAAGAATTACATTTTATGTAATTAACATCTGATCTAATATATTACGTACCTAGGCCTATGTGGTTGGCTACGGATAGCTAAGGTTAGAGTACGAAAAGCTAAAAAATTCATAAATGTAAAGGAAAATCATCCTAGAGCAATGCTGAAAATCTCAATAGAACAAAAATTCCATGTGGGACCTTGCTATTATGTATCTAACGGCAACGTCCTTGTCATCAACTACACCACAGTGCGGCAACACGAAATGTGCTGTACATACACTCATCGCTACTGACTGATTTGAATGTGTGGTTTAATACACATAAAAGCAACTTGTGTAGCCTACATTTATTTCCTGTAGTATCTGATCTAGACTAGGGCCTATGCCTACACACGTACGTACCCAGCCAGCCTATTCGTCTTCGTCAGGCCAGCCTGCATTACAGTACATTGACACGAAATGTGCTGCACACATACACTCATCGCTACTAACTAATTTGAATATTATGTGGTTTAATAGACATAAAAGCAACTTGTAGCCTACATTTCCTGTTATCTGATCTATTACACACACGTACTACCCAGCCAGCCTATAGGCCTAGTTCGTCTTCCTCTAGCTCTAGGCCAGCCTGCATTACAGTAGTGTACATTGTCTATCTCTCTCAGGGGAGAGACCACCCACCCTTGCAAGCACCACAAAATGGCTCATTCTTCGCTGCCAACTAGACTCGTGCAGATGCATTTATTAGCCGCAAAGCTTACCATTCCAGGCTGTGATTGGTTGATAAACACAATGTGGAATCAGGCGATTTGCAATCTGATCAATGACGAGCACGCTTTCATAGGAAACCCACCGTAGTGTTAAAAAATATGATAAAAAAACATACTTTTCACATATTTCCCGACAATATTTTCACAATAAACTCTTCATACTTTAAATTCCCCACGCCTTATCTTCCATATTATTGCAAGATCGGCCTAATCGCGTCACAAACGAAGGAAGAGATAGAAAAACA